TAGAAACACTGGCAACAGAACGCATGTAAAGGAAGAAGAGGAAGCCGCCAGAGCCCTTCTCTGCATGCTCACCATGGCACTCACATTATACAATAATAACAACTTTTAAAAATGAAATCCCACCATTATCTCGGATAGTTCACCCAAAAGGATGCATGATTCCTCTAAATACCAGGGGTAGGTATGTAGAGAATTAAGCACCTAATTTACATTTTTAAAATAACTTGAATAATAGCTAGAAGGTGAAGTGTGTTATACCAGCACAGGTGTAAATAGCAGGGCCAAAAAGAACTCAGGTTTTCTGGGCATGGTTGTGCACGCCTTTAAGTCCGTACTCTGAGGGCAGAGGCAGGGGGATCTCTGGGTTTGAGGTCAGCCTGGGCTACAGAGTGAGTTCCAGGACAGCCAGGGCTACACAGAAACCCTGTTTCCAAAGAACAGAAACTAAACAAACAAAAAAGCAAAGGAAGCTGACATACAAAGACTGGGTCTTGAAAGACTAATTACGACTGACATAAAGGACTTCATTTTCTGGAGCAAGAAGAAAACCCAGGCCTTGTTTAGACGGAGTAGCACTGAGCAGCGACAAGGAAGCAAACTGTGCTATGGTTGTACCCAGTTTCCATCTCTGAACAAATGATTATCAGCCTAGGGAGAGCCGCACAGGAGAGAAACCATGCGCTCACCTCTCAGAGGCCGCATGCATTGGGCTCCCAGAGCACGGGAAGAATTGACAGATGAAAGCCATGGTCATCTGGGGAGTGGAGGGGATGGGTACCAGCAGAGGGACACGTATGACACTTGAGGGTGCCAAGAGAAAGTGTCTGGACCGGTCAGTCAGCTTGCGAGCACGCTCAGGAAAACTCTGGACAGCTTTGAATGCTGTCAGGGAAACAGCCCCAAGAGACGACGTCAAGCATAGTGCTCGCCTCTGGTAAGACGAGAGATGTGCCTTGCCTAAGCAGCACTTAGCCAGACATCTTGAATGTGCTCTGACATCATTACAGGAAAGACAGAAATGTCCAGAGAGCTCACAGGAGGGTGATGGGAAAGGTGGATTTGTTTCCAGTCGGTTAGATGAACATACCTAAAGAGCAGTGTTGCCAATCCATCTGCCCAGCCTGGGGCTGTTCTCAGTTTAATCAATGACTGGGTTGCGAATGTTGGTAGCAAGTCGATCGGTTATGTCAGTGATGGGAAGCCAGGAAGGCATGCTGGGATGATGGATGCCAGAGCAAGTTAGAAACTCTAGGCAGATCTTAGCTTCAGATGCCCCACAGCACACACTGGACAGCAGAGCAGAGGGTATCCTATGGGAGAAACCCTGAAGCTTTTGTTGACAGGGAAGTGCTGTGTGAGTTGGTAGTATGATGAGGTTACAAAGAAAGACAGTTTGATGACAGTTTTAATAGAAATAAACTGCCCCAGACAAGATCACAGAGCCTCTGAGATCTGCACTGGTTAGACCACACACTGTATTTATTTCCACACATGCCACTTCACTTCCGGACGGGACACTCTGGTTTTGACGAGCTCAAATGAATCCAAGGGAGGGTGGCTTGAACGGATGGAGGATTTCAGAACCTTGTCAAGAATGTAGTTGCAAGTTAGAGCCACGTAGCCAAGAAAAAAGAGGTTGTTGATAGGATTCAAGAGCAGCCTCTGGGGTGTGAAAGGCTGCCAGGGAGGGCTGCTTAAGGGCTGGTGGTTTGAGAATTGCAAAGGCAGATTGCAAGATGGCCTGGCCACCATCCCCCTCAGTGGAGCCAGAAGCCTTGAGGGATTTTCTGTAATCCGGCCTTCCCAGAGTCCAGTGGTTGGCCAGGACCTGAAGCAATTACTCAAACAGGTTTCTTTTAGCCATCACCATTCTCGCAGGAGGAACTAGAAACACCTGTGGTACCCCTGCGCTGTTAGATGCCCCCTCGGACTCATCTCATTTAAACGTGATAGTGACCCTACTGTTCCTTATTTCCATGTAGGAGGCATATGAAGCTTAGGGAAAGGACATGGTGCCGCACACCTAGAACCCCAGCACTCCAGAGGTTGAGTCAAGAGGAGGGGGTATGTGTTCAGGACCAGCCTGGGAGTTGGAGGGTGGAGTGCTGTGATACCCAACAGATAAAGTCAGGTACCACAAAGCCTGATGGGACTGAGTACAAGAGGAGAACCACCCCCTGCCAGTTGTTCTCTGACTCCTGGGTGCACTGGCATATCTGTGCACACACACACACTAAATACATGTAACAAAAGTAAGAACAGCCTTGGCTACCTGGCAAAACCTTGTCTCAAAAAAGGAAAGAAAAAGGTGTCAGTTGCCAAGGTCACCAAGGGTGTGAACCCATGATATTTGACACTCTGCCTCCTAGAGCATGCTCCATGTCCCCTATGCCTCCCCAGAAGCCCCTCTCCTTGCCAGCCTCCCCCCCCCAAAAAAAAAAACCTCTACCTTCTGCTCTATGGAGAACCCAGGGAGGAAGCCCGGCTGAAAAATTAGGCCATGCTGCCGAGCACACTACTTATTTTTTTATGACTAAGATTAAGCTGACAACCATGCAAAACATTGCAAACCTGTGTCGGCTGCAGATTTAATACCTCACCCGGCCCACACAAATAATTCATGCTTCTGCATCGATGTCCAGAAAAAACAAATCAGCAGAAAGCTGGGCCCCTGCAAGTGTGAAGCGGCCGCCTTGCCATTGAAACAGCTAGCATGCCGGAAATACCCAGGCTCCAGGAATGCAGATCTAGCATTTTGAGATTTTTTTTTTCTTTCTTAAAAGATTAAAGTATGTTTTCTCAAATGATTGAAGGTTGGTGGGAGGTGTAAATGTGGGCACTTGTCACATTAATTCTTCAGATGATTAAGTTCTTTGCTGCTTCTTTAAAGCTCTTAGCAGTTGGGTTTGATGTCCCTGTTCTGGGTGAGTGTGTTGTGGCAGTTACCAAGGTGACTTTAGCTGACTTTCAACAATTTATTTTTCCCTCCAGCTTGAGACTCTCTGCCCTGTGTACTGTGTGATTCTTCTCCACCAGCCCCCACCCCACCTCCCATGGCTATTCATGAGCATTTTTGCCTGGCCTGCTGAGGCTGGGGGTCCTCGAGAAGGCCTGGGCCCCACGGGACAGCATGACAGCATAAGGATGGAGCTGTTGTCAGATGCGCATAGGAGTGAGCGTAAGCCTCACATCCTGGCTCGGGCTCCGGGTGGGGCTCAGGGTGGGGCCCGGTGGCTCAGTGTGAACCACTGAGTTAACCCCAGCACCCCCAAAAGTAAAGCGCCTCCACTGTGACCTTGAGGGTATCTCTGCTCGCTTTATTTGTAAAAGGGCTAAGGGTTTCCGTGCACCCTGTGAGGTCCCACTGAGTGAACCTGTGAGAGAGCCTGGCACAGAGGAGGCCCTTGACAAACGTGGATGATGTCATTTCCTGTGCTCTGCTCTTGTTTGGAGTCCAGGAGCACCCATTATCACCTTTGAACCCGGCAGTAGTGCCTGCATGAGATGTGGGCTTGCCCTCCTTGGAGGCCGGCACAGGAAGTGGTTAGAAGTCCACAGTTCGCAAGTTGGCCTGCCACAGACATGCTCTTTGTTTGGCCTTGGCTATGCACCCCCTTTTTGAAAAGGAAAGAGGTAAATGAAACAGGTTGAGTTTCTCTCCAGTCTTGAAATGCCGTTACCCTCTTGGCCAGTGTTTGCTTCATTCACAGGTCTTGTGGAAGTTCTTGCCAAGGGGAAGGCAGTTCCCAAGGCAGCTTTGGGGAGCCTTGGTGACAGAGCAGTCACATAGGGGTGGACTGGCTGGGGACAGGAGCTGCTGAGCCACTGCCTGGCTGCCAGTACTGCTCTGCTTTCCCCAGGGAGGGGCTCTGCCTGCCAGGTGCTCAGTTAAAGATGAGGCCTGCTCCTGAATGGCTGTTCAACTCAGACATCCTGAGTGGCTCCTGCCTGCTGCTTGAATTAGAAATGAACAAACAAAACAGAAACAAAACAAAAAAGAGTGCCCCTCACCTGGTATTTTGATGGACACTTGAAGAATTGTTCTGGGTTTCACAGCCCAAACCAGAACCCCGCCTTTTGAATGAAATCAATGGATGACCCTCTTTTCCTACTGGGGAAGATTTGGGAGGTCAGTAAGGACAGCTGAATTTGAAAAGCAAAACAGAATGACAAGGAACCCAGTAGCACCCAGCTCAGCTGTGGGACAAGCTGTTGGTGGGGAGCTGAGCTGGAGAGAGCATGAATGATTGACAGCTTAAAGTGGCCAAGGTCAGTATCAGGAGAGATCTAGATCAGGGCTTACACACATGCACACAAACACACAACACACACTGAACCACGGATGCAGCACACCACACACATATCCATGCGTGCATCACACGAGTGAAGCTCAGCTAAACACGTCACCCAGCCACATGCATCTGACTCCAGAGCAAGGGTTGTGCTACCCTCTGCGTAGAAGACCGCTTACATCACTCACTGCCTTGTCTGGCCCTGTGCAGGAGTGTGTTTGCTCAGAACCCCAAGGTCTGCTTGCAGAAGCTCCTGGACTTGCTGTCCCGTGTCAGCCTTGGAGACAGCTAAGAGTCTTCAGGACTTCAAGGCGGGAAAGAAAGGTTGCATAGAGTGCCTGTTAATTTCACAGGGCAAAGCAAGCCACCATGATGTGGACTTTTGTGTGTGTTGGCCAAGGGTGTGGCTCTAGAACCTGACTGGCTTCAGACCAAGGGCCAGTCCCTCTTCTGCACTGGCTGGGCACCCTACACATGCAGCTTAGTCACTTTACTTCAGTGTGCCCATCCCATGGGCATCAGAAGGCATACACAACCAGCAAGAAGTATTGGACACTTGCTGGCCCTTGGCTAGTGCATAGTGAAGGGTGCTGTTACCATAGTTAACAGGCACCATAGTTTCTAACCAGGAACTCAGCCAGAAAGTCCCGTTTGCTCCTCCCTGCGGGTTTCCCCATGTGTTTAATCCATTCCTTACTTGCTTTGCAGGAGCCGCAAAGACAGCTTGGAAAGTGACAGCTCCACGGCCATTATCCCCCACGAGTTGATCCGCACTCGGCAACTTGAGAGCGTACATCTGAAATTTAACCAGGAGTCAGGGGCCCTCATTCCTCTCTGTCTAAGGTGAGCTGAAAAGGCCATTCCACAGTACCCTTCAGGCTCAGAGCCTCCGCAGTGTGCCTTCCCCAAACACAGGTCATGTAAAGCTGTAGGCTAGCCATTTTAGCGAGACGGATATCTGTGGGCAGTTGATACCTAAGCAGACTTCAGGGTTGGGGATGGAAGAGAGCTCTGTTCTGGGCCTGTGTAGGAAATGAGGGACTTTGGGTCTCCGAGTCACTGGCCCCTGCAGTATCCTCCCCCATCCAAGACTGGGCAGTGCAGGTGATTGAGCAGTCTTCCAGCAAAGTAGCAAGGCCGATGGCCCAGCAGTTTGCCCCTAGAGGACTGTTCTGCATCTCTTAACCTAGAGCAGTAACGGCCCCCAGTCACATAGCATGCCCCCACATTGGTCTGTCATCTGAGTTGGTATTTCATTTTGTTTGAGATAGGGTCTCACTATGTAGCCCTGGCTGGCCTTGAACTCACGGAGATCCTCTGCCTCTGAGTGCTGGGGTCAAAGGTGTGTGCCCTACACCTGGCCTTTTTATCCTCTGGTTCTCTGAGAAGTGTAAGAGTCAGACTCCATGGGGAGTAGATGCTGTCCAGGATGTGTCCTTCAGCTGTGCCCCCCTTTGGGAGGTCAAGTGACCAAGTGATTCTAGGATGGGCCTTGCCATCCCATAAGCTAGGTCACAGGTCACACTGAGCTGTCAGGACCCAGGGTTCTGATAGGTTGGGTTTTACCTCCTCTTGCTTGATGCTTTTCCCATGCAAGACACTCAGTTCTTCACAAAACCCAGTGACCAGCCCAGCAACCTCCTTGAGGGGCCAGAGGCCCAGCTGTGTCTCTTCTGCTTTGAGAGGCAGAACCCTGCACTAGGCTGGATCTCTTGCAGCTAGCTGACTTCCTCCAACCCCTTTTGAGCTCCATTCTCACTTTGCTAGCACAAGAAGCTACAAGAACCCCCCCCCCAAACTCAAGGGGACAGCGACAAGGAAGAGGTTTGAACCCTGCCCCCAGATCCAAGAGCCTGGGGAAATGAGCGGGGGGTGGGGGGGTGGTGGGGGTGGTGGTGTGTGAGTTGAGCCAGCTGCCCTGAGCCTCAGGGCAAAGGTATTGAGTGGTCTGAGTGAAGGGCCAGCACCAGACTCTAGCTGTGTCTGTCTACCAGCTGGTGGACACAGGCTTGGGCTTTTAGCCTGGGGAAGGGTTAATCTGAAGCAGCCTGAGAGCACAAAGAGCCGGTTTTGCCTCCTTTACTGCTTGGCATCCCTGCCCATTGGTTGCCACTTGGGGCCCTTCCTCCAGCCTGGGGAGTAATGGTGACTTCTTACAGTGACCCTGCTTGACTTCAGACTTTTGTTTTCGTGTTTTTAAAGATTTGCTCCTTGCCTCCAGTATAACCGCTTACATGTTGCAGGAAAGCCTGTGCATGGCACAGAGTACCCTCCTGGGAGGCGTTAGTCCTTCTGCACTGTGGACGTGGCGCTGGCACACTGTCGTCCACTCTTTGGCCTCAGTATTGCCACCCGCCCCGAGGCCCTTTGAGCTCTGCCCTAGAGTGTCCACTGGCTAGGAACACGCGGAAGGGTGCCTTCAGAGCCTTCCGCTGGTGTGCTACAGTGAGCATGCTGGGTTAAAGTCCCTGTTAGTGGGCAGCTGGGCCCTCAGGAGGGTGCTGGCTGGGCGCTCTGCCTCAGGGAACATTGCTCTGTAGGCCCGGCATGTTGGCTAGGGACTGTGTTTCTAGGCCCAAATCTCCACTGTCTCCATGTTCCCATCCCCAGGGGCAGACTCCTGCATGGCCGGCACTTCACCTACAAGAGTATCACAGGTGATATGGCTATCACGTTTGTGTCCACGGGAGTGGAAGGCGCCTTTGCCACGGAGGAGCATCCCTATGCAGCTCATGGACCCTGGTTACAAGTGAGAGGCACCTTTTTCTCTTTCTCTCTTTCTCTCCGCGCTTCCTTGCCGCCTGCCCTCCCTCCCAGGGCAGCTCCCTGTGGCATCCATCCTGAGCTAGGAGCTGCCTCTTGGATTCAGAGCGTGAGCTCTCTGTCTTCACAGCTGCAGGGTGACTTCTGCTTCCCATCCCCTGAAGTGATTTCTCTCCTGCCATTGGTGGAGCCCTCTAATGACAGAGGGAGCCCAGGTGTGAGGGTTAGAACACTTCCCATACCCTGGGGAATCAAGATACAAGACATGGAGGGTGAACAACGTGTGGATACCACCCTTCAGTGACAATATGGAAACCAGCAGAAATCATAGGAAGTGAACTCTGCGGTGGCCAGAGCTCCCAGAGCAGTGGCAGCTGCTCCCTTTGCTCCTGATGAAAACACTGGGCAGAACCTGCTGGCCTGTCCAGAGCCTTGTGCTCTCCTGCTTGGAGCAAGGATCAGAGCTGATATTCAGCATGGCACTTGGGGTTAAGAGCCATCAGCCTCTTTGCAGTGCCCACCCTGCCCAGGTCCCTAAGGGTCACTAGCCTGGTCTGCCATACTGCTCTTTCAGAGAAAGGGGAAAGCAATGTACCCACTTTTCACAAGAATATCAAGAAAAGGAGTCAGGGCCAGATGTGGTGACGCACACCTCTAATCCCAGCACTTGGGAGGCAGAGGCAGGGGGATCTCTGTGAGTTTGAGGCCGGCTAGGGCTACAAAAGAGAAAAAAGAAAGGGAGTTGGAGCTATGGAGAGAGACTCTGACCTTCATCTGAAAGGTACCCAAGCTTTGTGTGTGGTGGGTTAGAGAAATGCATGGGGGAATTGCAGTTAAAAAAAAAAAAGGGAGAGAATTACTCTAGCTTTGTGGGTAACCCAGTCTGGGGTCTGCACTACTCTTAATGTGGGTATGTTTTTGTCTGCTTGTGTCTGCTTGCAGCTGATGCCCTCTCTCAGAGCAACCTCCTCCCTGCCCCCACCAAAGCCCTAACCCTTAATTAAAACAAACAGCAAAGGAAGGGTACCAACCACTCTTCTCCTGCTAAGCCCAGAGGTAGAAATGGAAGCTAGTGCTTTAGGGATATTGTGTTCCATAAATTATCTTGCCTTTTTCCACTGTTGTTATTACATTGTTTCATAACAAAATTACTTTGAACCATAAAGTTATAAATACATTTTAAAAGTCCCACTTGGTAACATTAGATTTCTGTCCGTGGTGGTAGTTACTGTAGCAAAAGCTCAGAAGTGTAACATTTGAAATGAGCCCAGGACAAGTAGGAACAGCCTCTTATACACCCCCATCCCTCACCCTAGCCATGTCCCCATGCTGCCACCCCGTCTCTACTGACAACCAGAGATGCAGGTCTCTACCCTTAAACAGAACTAATATGGAGGTGGGAGATGGGGACCCCCCCTCAGGTGACCCCAGCCACAGAGAGTTCACAGATCATCATTCCAGTGAATGACATAAGACCAGCAGGTCTTAGCAGAAGTGTCCTGGTGGTTCATGAGTGTATGTGTCTGTAGATGAAGCACATTTGGAGGGAATTAGGAAATGGGTCTCCCTTGACTAAAGGAGAGTGTCTGCCCTTGTAGTCTGTCATCTTTTGTAGAACATCTTCTGGGCCTGAGGGCTCAGTAGTCAGTGTCTCTAGTTTTCAGCCTGCCCAGGACCCTGGGCCCCCAGAAGACTGGGGATGTCTGGCAGCCCCTCAGTCTTCTGGAAGGAAGCCTCCTGCACCCCACCCAATTCCCAAGTTCTTAATCCCCTGGCTGTGGCATCCCCACTCTTGGCACACCACCACCGACACATGCTGGCAGCATCTCAGTGAGTTGGGACATTCGGCACCCGCTGCCTCCCAGCACTTGAGTCCCCTCCTGTGGGCTGTTGCCCGGGGAACCAGGGAGTGGTGGGAACGAGTTGCTGGCCTCGGCATGTTTCAATCAAGTTGCTGTGCTGGGAGCTGCCTAATCAAAGGCCTGCTCTGGGCTCATTAGTGTGGTCCACCACAGGCTGCCCCTCAGGAGAGCTTTGGGGAGTCTGGCTCAGGTCCCGCCCTCCAGGCACGCACCCTTGATCACCAAGAGGTTTCTCAGGCTCTTTGCAAGGAGCCCTGGGAAACTCTCCATCTGACCTGCCCCCGCCAGCCGGGTTCTCAGCAGTGAAGCCAACACCCACATCAGCTCTCTTCCCCTCCCGAGAGCAGTCAGCGTTTTCTGCTTCGACTGTTAGCCTGACTTTCCCTTTAAGGTCTTGCCTCTGTGGCCACAGGCAGTCCCCAGCTTGTGGGAACTAGGCTTGTAATGGCTTGTGAGCCTATAGATTGCCTCTCAAGGGCCAGCTGTCTCCCAAGTAGGACCTGAGGTTCCACTCAGAAGTCACAGATCAAGACCCACTGTGCCAAGAAGGGACCGAGACCTGCTTGGAGGGAGGAGCTCAACACCTGCTCTTTACAGGGTTCTGTCACTCTCTCCGGGTCTGGGGCGGCTCCTTGAGCCTTGTGTGCCCAGGCCTGCTGCAGGCAGTGGAGCAGGGGCCAGCTGAGAGCAGCAGGCATTGGATGAAGAGACCTGGACTTCCGGAGACCTGGCCTTCCGTCCCCTGGCTGCTGTGAATCACAGCTCAAGTGGGAAGGGCATCGAGACTTCCTTGCATCAGCCTTCAGCAGCCTTCCAAGTGCTCACTCCCAGCCCTGGCACCCCGTCCTGGCTGCCAGCCCAGGCCTGTTATCTCTTAGGGAAAGGCAAGGCCTCCATTCCCCCTGTGCCGAGAAGGCAGGACTGGAAGGGAAAGGGAAGGTTGGAGAGCCAAAGCCCCTTTCCAGGCTGGTGGGGTGGCTTCAGACAGGCTTCCGTACCTCGCTCATCTCTGGCCTGCCACCTGGACCCCCGCTTTCTACCAACTCAGGGAGGCCCAGGCCTGGGGACGTTGGGACCCAGGGCCTGAAGAAGAGGGCAGGTGTAGTTGGAAACTCACCCATTAGGAGTTGGCTTGGGCCATACTCTGTAATTTCTAGAGACCTGGCTTCATCCATCCCGCCTTGTGTCACCGGTAAGGTCATAGAGCCCGTAAGCCAAGTCCAGAGCTTCCTGAGACAGTCTCCAGACCCTGTAGCAGGCCTGCTGATGTCCTCCCCTACCCCTAGTACCCCCTCACTGGGGGCCTAGTCACCCTGAGCTGTCAGTCTTCTGAGCAGAGCCCCGCCCAGAGCTGAGTCAGTTCCTAGCCAGGGCAATCTGAAGGAGGGAAGCTTCAGTCCCAGAGGTCATAGAGAGGGCATATCACCAAACATCAGATTATTTTTTTTAGGCCCTGAAATGCTTTCTCAGCTGTGTGGTGTCTGACAGCTCACCCAGGTGGCGCCCTTAGTCCCAGCCACTCCCCAGCAGCCCAATGGGAGGTCTCTGGCTTGGGAGAAGAGGCCTCACAGCTGTTCCCAGTGGGGTCTGATGTTCCCAGCCAGGCTTCGAAACCACAGCTAAACTCTACCCAGCCCAGGAACAGGTTCCCCATATTCCTTCAGCCAAGGCCCTGTGTTCTTCTGTCCCTATACGCCCTTTGGGATGCTATGTGTGGCCATCCAGGAGTCCTCAGCCCAGCCCCTGGAATCCCCTTTCTAATGCCTGCCTAGCGTTTCTCCTACTAGTGGGCCTGGCTATACCTGCCTTCTTTGGAGACTTTGGCTTGAGCTGTCTCAAGACCTCACTGTCCAGGCCTGTGCCTGTTAAGGTTTAAAGCAAACTCTAATTCCCTACAGTGTCAACCGCAGGAGTCCAGCTTGCTTCTGGCCTCCAGAGCCACCCTCTCACCACCCACCCCGAGCAGGAAATGAGAGAGTGCCCCCACTGCTCACAGACACGTGCCTCTACCCCTCCCAGCACGGGAGTGTCCACGGGCTGTTTTCTGGCCTTTGTCTGCCTGAGTTTGGGGGGAAGGGGGACAGCTGACAGGAGCCCTTGCTAGTCCTTACCTCATGCCATCGTGGGGGCCAAAGCCACTCCTTGGCAGGCCCTGACTCTGTAAAGAGCACATTTCCTTCCTGGAGAAACGGAAGGGGGGGGGGGAGCCAAACTTGCTGGGAAGCCGAACAACACAAGGAGCAAACTAGGCCCAAGACAAAGTGTGAATTGTCACTCTGAGGGGAAGGAAAGGCATTGTCAGCCACTCAGAAGCCTGTGGACCACAGACCTTGGAATGAGTGTCAGATTTGTAGCAGTCTAGCCCTTGCCTGCAGCACAGCTGGGCCTGCCCAGGCCAGGCCCTGACAAAAGACCACTTTTCTGGAACTTGCTGGAGCCTGGAGAATGGAGAGGTTGTTGACAATCCTTTCTTGCCACCAACAAGCCAGGTTGTCCAACTGCACCGCACATGGCCTGTGATGTGAGCCCACTGGAGTGAATTACAAGCAGAGCCTGGATCCCAAACCCTCTTTCCCATTGATGGCGTCCTCAGTCAGTCCAGTCATGGTAGAGCCGCAGCCACTGATGGTCGATCCTGTGCTCAGCCCTCTCCTCCTCTGGGCCTCTCCTAGCACTTCCTCTCACTGTGACTCTTGGGATGCCTTGGGTATACTGCTCCAGAGAGCTGTGGCCCAGCATCACCGCGTTCTCCAGCGCCCTCCAGGGCATTGTGCTACTCAGACTAGGCCAGGGTCCCTTCCTCTGTTATTAGCGTCTCCTCCCTCCAAGGACTGTTGGTGCCAGCTTCTCATGCATGCATAGGGTGCAGTAATCACTGATGATTTCATTATTTCTGGGCTAGAGGAACTGTTCAAATGTGAGGTATGGTGTCCCATGCCTAACTCCAATGCTCAGGAGGGAAGGGCAGGAATGTCTCTGAGCTTCAGACTAGCCTGGCTTACATAGGGAGCTCCAGGATGGCCAGGACTAAATAGAGAGACCCTGATAAAAAAAAAAAAAAAAAAAAAAAAAAAAAAAGTATGGACTCAAGCCAGCAAGATGGCTCAGTGGTACATACCATGGTTCCCCTTTCAGTTAGCTGTTTTTATTTGTTGTTAGCAGCTATGTGTTTGTGACACTCGGGTTCCAGCCCTGTTGAAATGAGAACATACATACTCCTGGCTGGGGTTGACGGTGCTGGTCTTTCAGGCAATTGGTAAAAGCTACATTCCCTTCCCTACCCCTATCAGAAGTCAGCCCTGCGTACATACACAAAGCTCCAGACAAGAAAAGAGCATGTTCTGTCACCTGGGCAGGCACTGCTCTGAAGCCTAGGAGACTGCCTTCTCCTGAGGACCCAACCATCTGCACGTGGATATGCAAGCCCATCACAGGATTGAATGAAGAGATATGCAGCAGCATAGCACAGAGCCTGCATAGAAGGCGGCTACCACTCTGGTGATTGGCAGAGGCTGGACACTCCAAGGAGACAGTGAGCTTCAGGAAGCCCAGGCCCTAGACCTGCACAGGCTTTTCCCACAGTGGCATCACAACAGCAAGTCTGTTCCCAGAGAGAGCTCCCAGGAGCTGCTCCATCATAGCTGTCTATCTGCAGTATCCTGTCGATAAGATCTGTTAACATTCTCAGCTCCAGCTCAGATCTACAGAGAACAGGGCCTGTTTGTTCAGTCCAAGCTTCTAAGGTTTAACTCCCAAAGGAAATTAAATCAGGTGCCTGGAGCTGTGACAGTCTGTCGTGTTTCTTTGCTGAGAATGTCACCCCTAATATCATGTGGATCTCATGTATAATTTTTCCCCTTTAATTCTTTTAAAACAATGTGGTTTCCAGCAAATCATCAAAAGTGAAAATGAAGGAACAGCCTAGGGTTTGTCCCCATTTGGGGGCCTTGTCATCCCCTCCCCCCACACACAGATGATGCCACACTTGGTGAAAGCCCTGCTAAAAGCCTCCATAACTCACCAATCCCAGACCCTTGACAGAGGCCCTGGCTTAGGATTGGACTGTTGGTGGCCTCACCTTCCTGTTGTGGAAAACACCCTTGGGAGTCTCCTTGGGTGGCCACGGTCCTTGGAAGCCCTCCCCTACCCCATTTTACCCCCGTGCTACAGTTGCAGACCTATTTATCACTGGTGTGGAGAAAGCCCCTCCCTCTGGATTATTTGTGGGTTAGAAATGAACCCAGCCTGGCCAGGGCTGGAGTCATTGTCATATAACTGGGTCTCAGGTATGCTTGTGTTTGTGCTAGCATTTACAGAGATGGCAACAAGCCCCGGAAATGCCAAAAATATGAATGTGACTTTCTATTACTCAAGCCGACTGGCGATAACTAGTGCAGAAACTGGGCTTGGGGGAGGGGACCCATGGCATGAGAAGAGGAGGGTTTAGGCTCCAGGAAGGAAGGCCAGGTGTGACTGGATGTGGCCAAGGACCAGAAAGTGCCAGACAGACTGGAAAGAGCCAGCCAGCCCCCTCTGGGGAGCTTGGAGGAGGAAAAAGAATGCTCTCTCTCTCTCTCTCTCTCTCTCTCTCTCTGTCCCTCTGTCTCCCCCCCCCCCATTCCTGTGTTCTCCTGTTTTGGGAAGGCAGGTCCTCTTCCTCTAGGGAGCCGCTGCTTGGGTGGGAAATAGGCTTGCCTGTCCAAGAAATGAACATATGAGTCAGTGTCCTCCACCTAAGAGAGTGTAAGGCATCAGGTTTCAGGCCAAGACATGACACGTGGTCTTGCTTTGGCCCACGGGGTAGGTGCCTCAGTTTCCCCATCTGGAAGGAGACTGAGAGAACAGTCAGCATAGCGTCTGGGATGTTAGAGCTTCCTCTTCTCACTTGTCAACACCATGCCATCGACTGCTCTGCCCCTTTGACCCCCCTGGCTGTCTCCTTCCCCTGTCACTTTATGTCACGATGCGGAAACTCCTACCCTTACAAGGTGATCAGCTTCCAAGGGAAACTTTATGGGCGTTTTCTCAAGTTTTGAATTCCCAACCTTCTGACGGGAGGGCTTGAAAGGAGCCCTTCAGTTGGGCTTACCCAGTACTGTCCTTCCTCTCCGCACTGCACAGGGTCTGCCAGAGAAGTGGAGAGGCCCTGTGGACAAGGACAGGGAGGGTGGAGTAGAAAGGGCCAGAATCTACAAGAAAGACACGGATGAGCTCCGCCTGGGCTAGCAGGGCGCCTGAGAGCCATCAGTTGAGAAAGTGGCCATCAAGTTGAGGAAGGCTTGACAGAGCTCTGAGTCATGTGGATGCTCCTCTTGGCTGAGAACACTCACTTAGGGCATAAGGATAGTGCTTAATCCAGCCAAATAGTGGTTCTGGACCGTGTTGGACATCAAAGCCTGTGCTAACAAGAGTCAGGATAAAGCGGTAGATAGAGTGAGGAGGAGGCAGACACCAGAGAAGATGGATCTCAGAAGTCTAGCAGCGCATGCCTGCTGACCGGGCCTACAGGGACATCCCTGAGACATGACCTGTGGCTGGAAAGAAAAGTTCTAAGTCCCATCCCGTCTCTGAAGAGATAGGCAGGCTCTCGTTGTGCAGCTCAGATTTGTTCTTTGGTTTTAGCTGCTGTCCCGATCCCCGCAGTGATAGGGGATAGGACCCAGGACTTCACCACTGGAGCACATTAAACCCAGGCAGGACTTGTATTCCAATGTCAAACAGAGTCCTTTTGTCCTACATGGTTGGGAGAAGTGGGTGGGAATACATGAGCCTGATCAGGCAAGGACCTTGGCAGTGGCTCTCCCATGGCCTTCGGCTTTCCTGTCCTTCTCTGTTGCCCAAAGAAGCGGTTTCCACTGCCGCCCGTCTCCCTAGTGAGGTCAGTACTGCCCACTTTCCAGATGCCACCCCGTTCCCCACTGCCCACCCTACCTCTCTGCCCTCCTCCAGCCACCACTGCAAGCTGGGGGGGGGGGCATTGAGAGTGTGCAATTTTTTTCAGAAGTGTCAAGTACTTCCTTCTGTCACTGGAACCAGTCAATGGGCCATCCCTCCTCCATAACGAAAAGAAACATCCCTAGCTCGGTAGTTGGCAAAAGGGCTATATATATATTTTTTTTTCAAATAAAAACCTGCCTTTTGCTTTCTTTCCCAGATTCTGTTGACGGAAGAGTTTGTAGAGAAAATGTTGGAGGACTTGGAGGAGCTGACTTCTCCAGAGGAAGTAAGCTTGTTTGGTTTCTCACTCAGAGAGAGATCCTAGGCATATAGATCTGTGTGCAGAGGTGTGCACCCGTGTGTGTGTGTGTGTGTGTGTGTGTGTGTGTGTGTGTGTGTACATGCTCACACTTCTATGGGCGGTCCTCTGAAGTGCAGGAATAATGTGTAGAGGAGCCGCTGAGGTAAATGACTTTTATTTTTCTTCTGTTTCTATGAACCAGCCCTGCCACCCCACAAACACACACACCCTTGTGAGGACACCCAGCAAACTGAATTGCCAGCTCTTGAGAACCCTCATTGAAGAAGCAGCCAGGGCCTTCAGGCTAGAGTTCTCCCCAGCCCCTGCTGTTCCCTGGCAGGTTCTGAACAGAAAGCTGCCATGTCTGCTGCCAGAGAACATTCCACTGGGGAGTTCTAGTGGGCAGAAGGGGACCCCTGCTCTTGCCTTGGGCCACCCAAGAGCCACACTCCCTTGCTTCTCCAGCTATAGCTTGCCCCTCTCAGCCTCTTCTTGGCCAGCTCAGAGCCTGAGGAACTGGCAGGCCAGGTGGGGTTATGCCTCCCTCCCCTTGGCTCCTTCTCTGGGGTGCAGGCATGGAGTCCATAATCCCTTTTGTTTTTCTTCCTTGTTCCTGGCCTCCTCATTCGCAGGGACTTACCTCATCCTGGAAAGTCCCTTCTCCTCCTCCTGCCTCCTACTAACCAGCAGCACCCAGGCAGCGGCAGGCAAGCCTTCCTGCCCTCAGTGCTCCATGGGGTAGTAGAACATTAGCAAGTTTCCCAGGCCTCCAGAGAACCTTCCGCCGCCCCCCCCCCCCAGCTGCCTGTGGAAGAGCCTGACCCTTCCCTCCCTTTGCCCTAATGTGCTTGAGGCAAAGAGAGCTGCTTTACCTCCAGGAGCCAGGGCCAGACAGGAGTATCCAGGGGCCAGCTCTCCCAGGACCACACAAGCCTTGGACTCGGTAGATAGAAACTCCCCAACAGCCATGTCTTCCCTGCCCCCCACCCCAGGGGTCCGGCTTGATCAATTAATTCATTTATGTATTCCAGGGTTATCGAGCACCCAGTCTGTGCCAGTCGGCCACCCCTACAAGTCACTGCCTCACAGGCCTAGCTCCCCCATTCAGTCAGGCCAAAGCCAGCTGCCCAGAAGGGCTTCCGGAGAGGTCTTGTCACACTGCAGTGGCATTATGCCAAGCTGCTGCTTCGAGCTTGGGTGCTGAGTGGGCGGGAGGGGACAGTCCAGGCAAGAGAGACAGGAGCCAAGGGGAGCTTTGGAAAGTAGGTCACTAAAAATGACTTCTCTTTCTGCTTGCCTGTCCAGAGGCTGTCCCCACACCCTGCCCAGTCTCCTCTCTGTCCTGAGTCTACAGTCCTCCATGACAGGGAGGGCAGAGGGAGCCAGCCAGGAGGTGTTAGTGTCCACCCCCAGTCCCTCTCAGGCGGACTGGAACATGACTGTCCTCTCCTTGGCCCTGACTTGCAGCCTAGCCCTGAGACAGTGGGGGTTAGGGGAACTCCTGCGCTAGCCCCAAGGCAAGGCAGTGAGCATTTAGTGTGCACCAGCTGTGTGCTGAGCCACTTGCCAGGTTCTAGGCCCCGGAAGGAGTGAGAAGTCAGCTTCTCCCTTCTCCCAAACAGAAGGTCCCAGGGGAGTGAGAGAAATACAGCTGCAAGGCTGTCATTGGTTTCTGATTTAGGAAACCTTGGCTCTCGTCTGGGATCGCTCAGAGCAGAGAACCCTGGGAATCAGGGTAAAGGGGCAGTGGGCAGTGAAGAATTTCCCCTTCTGGGAATGTCCATAAACCGCCTTCATCCTGCATGTTACAGCCCAGCAGGGTGACTTTTGGGAACTGATTCGGGACTCTTTCCTTGTTGACCCCTTGACAAAGCTATGGAGGACAGGTTCTAGAATCCTTCCCACACTAGCCTCAGGAGAGCCCATGACATCTTCCCTGTGATATCTACTCCCTGCTGGGTCCCCTATCCTCCAGCCCCAGGGCCTCAGGGAGCAGATTCCTCACATGCTTGTGGCTGGAGGCAGAACCAAGAAAAAGAGCAGGAGGGAGGTCTACATAGTCAAAGAACTAGAAAAACACGCCTTCTCGCTGGTGAGCTACGGTGCCGGGAGGGAAAGAGCACCTGGAGCAGCCGCATGCGCACACACTCGCACGCACGCGCACGCACTCATACACACACTCACACACACACTCAGACACACACTCGCACACACTCAGACACACACTCGCACGCACGTGCATGCACTCATACACACACTCACGCACACACTCATACACACACTCGCACACCCACTCGTGCACACGCACTCATACACACACACTCGCACACACTCGTACACACTCGCACGCAGTGCACGCACTCACACACATACACACTCGTACACACACTCGCACGCACGCGCACGCACTCACACACACTCGTGCACACGCACTCACACACACACACTCGTACACACACTCGCGCGCACGCGCACGCGCACGCACTCACACACACTCGCGCACACGCACTCATACACACACTCAGACACACACTCGCACGCACGTGCATGCACTCACACACGTGCACGCGCACGCACTCACACACGTACACACTCACGCACACACTCATACACACCCACTCGCACACACACTCGCGCACACGCACTCATACACACACACTCGCACGCAGTGCACGCACTCACACACATACACACACACACACACACACACACACACACACACACCCTGGGTCTAGCTTCTGAGAGGTCTCTAATGGCCTGTCTTGTTCCCAGCATCCTAGGGGCAGGTCTGGGCCAATGTGCTGCCTCTCTCTGGGTCTAAGGCAATGGAGTCTGCTAACCAGAGCACTCAGGCTCTGTGCTTGCTCCCTCCACAGTTTAAACTTCCCAAAGAGTACAGCTGGCCTGAAAAGAAGCTCAGAGTCTCCATCCTCCCTGACGTGGTGTTCGACAGTCCACTGCACTAGCCTGGGCTGGGCCCTGCGGGGCCAAGCGGGGCTCGGCGGCTCTCGGTAACTGCGGTGCGACAGCTGTATAAGAGACTCCCATGAATAAAAGGACAAGTGTGAGGATGACTACAACTGCTGCACCCACCACAGGCCCCGCCTCACCTCCTTCACCTCTGGCTCAGGGGCCTCAGGCCCAGCTGCCAAACCCATGACCAGGCCCCTGCCCTGCATGTCAGTGAGCAAGGGAGCCTGCACCTCCAACCTCCCCAACCACCTGCTGCTGCCACAGGTTTAACCGATGTGCTCCGCTCCGGGAGAGACACCCTTGCCGTACAGCCAGGTGTGCAGAGCACGCGTGTGGGGGAACTGCCCGGTTGGACCCCGGTATGCCTCTGTGCGTTCAGGCTGCTGCAGCAATTGCTCCTGTCGCGATGTCTTCTTCCGTAGTCTGTTGTGAAAACCAGATGGTATTTTTATTTCTCGGCAAAGATGGTCCAGAAGCCATGTATATGGGGGTTTTTAAACAGAACTTTATTCCTAGATGAACTTTATCATTCTCTTAGACAGGGGTCTGGGGGCTCTGCCTCCCCCACACCCTCTGCCCAAGAAGGTGCCTGGCGCTGCCTGTCAGCCCTGAGCCCTGGAGGAGCCTGGGATAGGGGAGCTGCTGGCACACTCTCCGTGCAGCCGTGGGCCTAGATATGCTGTGGCCTAGAAGGGTGTCACTGCCAAATGAGCTAGGCTTCTACCAGGCCCTGGGGACTTTAGGGACTCAAGGACATGGTGGTCCTAGCTATGTCTTCCAATCCTTTTCTACCCACCAGACCTGCCAAGGATTGTGTAAAACCCACTGCCCCTCACCCTGCCCCCCAGGGTTCCAGCTCTTTGATTTCCTTTGTCCCCTGGGTTCCCAGCCCCCTGGGCTGTGGGACTCTAGCTTATTAAAAACTGAGAAATCAACCCCTCAAAGTCCCCCTCACTTTAATTCTGTTGACAATGCTCTCTGTGGCCCTCCATCCTTCCCACGGCCATTCCTAACTCACCTTCCTACTTGCCTTTTCCTATGGCCTGGCCCTTTGTGGGCCTCATCCTCTCCCCCTCAATCCCCCCCCCCAGAACTGTAGATCCGGACACCGTCCAGGAGCCAGCCTGTCTCTGGCCACCTTTGGGGGCTGCTTTTGAGAGAATTCCTACTTCTGACCTGGAAATGGCAAGTCCCTTTCCTGAACTCTAGGTCTGATGTTCTTTCTTCATTCTTTAAGTTCAGATCTCTCTGAAGGAAAGACTTGTCTGTCAGGGACCTTTCAAGAGCTCCATTACTCTGTCCGTTTCCACCACTTACGGGGGGGAACTATGGGGTACCCCAGGAGACCTACAGTGGCCCAGCCAGAGAGCTGCCCCCAGGAGCCTTGAGAAACCTGGATGGGGGCTCGAGGGAGCAGAAATGAGCTTTTCAAGGGATGAGGCTTTTGGCCCTTTCCACATATCCCGTATCTAAGTGGTTAACTGTAAGGCCAGCACTTGGAGACAGGTCCCTACCAGCCTGGATAGAGTCTCTGTGGAACAGACACCATGCTGCCCCAGGACTTCTCCACAAGGACACTTGCAACCCTGCCTTTAAAGCTCTTGTCTCCTGAAAGTGTATGGCCAAGAGATGCTCCCGGCCTGCCTCCTCCATTCCTTACCATCTTGACCAGTGTTGTAGTAGTTCCCCCTCCCCCCTTCTCCCTGGAGACTTGCCTAAGGGCCCCCGTGCTGCGTTCTGCCTACCTCCATTTGCCTGGCTTGGGGGCAGGAATGCATGCTATGAGCTGGTTTAGTCCTTAGTGTGTGAGACTGCTGCTCAACCTCTTGCCCTGGGCCTGCAAGGTCTTTGTAGACGGAGGGTTGCCACCACCTGCATTCTTGGGAAGCAGGGAATGGCAGGCAAGCTCCCAATGAGATGTCAATAGGGCCTGAGGCCTCTCCTGCCCCCATCCTGCCAGGAACCTCAGGAATGTGTAAAATCCTGCTGGGACCAGGCCCCCATCATTCCTTAGTGCCTCGGCTCTCAGCCTGCTGGGACCAGGCCTCCTTTCCCTTGGGCCCTGGTTTCTTCCAGAAGGTTATCAGGGAACAGGTTCACCATTAGGCTGCTGCCAGAGAAGGAGGGAGCCTACCATCGGATGGAGCAAGGCTTACCTCATTGTGTCACATGATGGGTAATCTGTACAGGGGCCCGTTCTTTCCCTCCCTTTAGCCCTATGGGGCTGTTAGCCCATCCTGGGGAGGGGTTCAGGAGACTCCACCTCGGCACACTTCCTACAGGCTGTCCCCATCCTTTACCCTTGCAGGGCCTCAGGACCAGAGCTTCTGAAAGGAAGGACCTCTGCTCTTCTGTTGACTAAAGCTTCCCGGGCCTGTGTGGGCCGCAGAGGATGGCAGTGCCGGCTACCATGCTGGGGAGCAGAGTGTCCTCTTCCAAGTGTGACATGCTACAACAGGGCCTGTGAGGCCTTGGGGACCCCAAAGGGGCCAGGGCATCTGCAGTCCAGACCCTGGGTTCTGGGGCTGACTGTTGAGATGGGGGTTGAGAGCAGGGAGAGGCCCTGAAGTTTGTGCCCCTATGGGGTGGACCAGCCAATTACTCCCTGAGCTGTATTTTTTTTTAACTTGGTCTTCCCTCTCTGGCTTCCACGATCTAGGGGCCAGCGGAAGAGTCTGGGTCCCTGTTACAAGTCAGGAGCCCTGTAGGGAGACCCTTTCTTTTGTACAAAGATCTGAATGCTGCAATGAGCAGACTTTTGTACATTTTTATATTAGTTTTTAATGTCAGTGGCGACTCGGTTCCTGGGGCTACAGCTGGCTCAGGACTTTTGTAAGAAATTTTGAGTGACTCACTTAGATTTTGTTCCCACGTGGCCCTCTTCCTCTGTGTAATCTAAGTGCATTAAACATATCTGCAGAAGTGGCCGGGTTGTGTACTTCTTTCTGGCATGCTAGTGTGTGTGTGTGTGTGTGTGTGTGTGTGTGTGTGTGTGTGTAGTGTGAGATGTGTATGACACTGGGGTGTGAACCCATGGCCTTACCGCGTACTAGGCAAATGCTCTGCCACTGACTTATCTCCCTAGCCTTCATTTGCTTCTTTCTGGATGCCTAAAGCAAAGGAGCATGAAGATCGGCACCCTGGCAACCACTTGGAAGTGCAATGAGCCTGAGGAGTGAACCTGGAAATCCAGAGGCGCCAAGGTGTGCTGAGCGGTCTCTGCCACTAACATTAGCATGCACAGCCTTCCTTTGTAGGCCATGCTTCCCTTAAGCTCAAGGGCGGTTGGGGTTGGAATTTAGTCTGCAGGGATGGGTGGGTGGGGCCGTCTCTCTGCTGTCTCACTACTTCGTTCTTTGGATTTTGGTTGTTGTGGCGGCGGCGGTGGCAGCAGCGGCAGGTGTTCAGCCCATCTTCAGAATCCCCATCTTCCTGCTTCAGCCTCCCCAATGCTGCCATTACAGCTAGTTCTTTTTCTCCTGTTCTTCCCACTCTTATCAGTAACACTTTTCCCTTGGTTCCAGAGGGGTCCAAAGCTCAGAATAGTGGGTTGTCCTTACCTCTCGTTCGGCGAGTCTTTCCCCTTACAGCTAGCCACTCCCTACCAGGATCTAAATTCGGCCTCCTCTTCAACAAGCTGGGGCTGTGCTTGGATCTGGAAAATCTCAGAACCAGATGACACAGGCCAGCTCAGCCTTCTATCAACACCCAAGCTAGGTAAAGAGGCAGGATGCTATGCCATCCTCTCTGGGCTGCCTGATGGCAGCTGCCTTTTGAGGACCCCCATATCAATTGAGTCAGTGCTGGGAAAGGGAGAGAGCAGCCTAGGTGTGGCCGCATCAGCATCTACACAGGATGCTGGGAACCCTTGGACACACCTGAGGCCTTCCACATTGTTTCCCTTCCTACTAGGACTAGTGACAGATCCGGAGACATCACGAGGCAGAGGGAGGGGGTGTCAGCTCCCATAGAGGGACGCTTAAGTCCCCTTCCTCTTTTCCTATGAGTCTTAGCTGTCTGGAGACCTTCCCAAAAAGGAAGTCAGTGTCCATCTTTCCCCTGTGATCTCTTCTTGAACTCTGGGAATGGCTGGCCCATGAGCAATGGAATAGGTTGTGCCTGGACCCTTGGTCCCTCTGGTGCCAGGACAAGGGAACGAGTGGGTGGTGTCTGAGGCCAGATTGACAGGCCACACCTTTCCCCCTTACCTCACTTAACTGACCCAGGAAGCTCAGTGAAGGTCTTGCCCCAAAGAGCACAGAGCGGGGAGGTCCTGTACCTGTGTCTCTGGGAGACAGTGCCAGGCAAGGATGTCTAGAACAACAAGGATTTGTAGAGACCTGGTCTGGTCTCTGGAACAGAAACCTCATTTGTAAAGATTTAAGGAGGAGATCTGCCATGTGCTCTTTGACATCTCCTCTAGGAAGACCTGGGCATTACTGTGGGCATCTGTTCTGCCTCCTCTGGGTCCTTGGGTGGGGGCTGCTGTTCCAGTATCATGGGACTGAGGAGCCCAAAAGATTTGCCAGACTGGCCGGACCACAAGGGAATGCAAGCTGGAAGTGGCTGCCCAGCCTGCCAGGCATTGAGGCAGCTGCAGGCACTGAGAGGGAGGAGGGAGTCGGAGGGTGGGGTGAGGCGAGGGTGTGATTTGCTGAGCAGAATGAAGGATGGGTTCCCAGCCTGCAGAGGCAGGTCAGGATGTGGTCTGGGAGGGGCAGCCCTTCTGGGGGGGCATAGTGGACCTGAGCCAGGCCTCTGCTGACTCAGGAAATCTGGGAGAGGCTAGTGAGATGTTTCTGTACTCGCTGCCTAGCCTGATGACCTGAATTAGAATACCCCAAACCCACATGGTAGGAGGACAGAACTGACACCCATACTCCAATCCTCTCATCTCCACGTGGGCATCTTGGCTGTGTACACGTGCACACATACATAGTTAAGACTTCTTTTGGAGCAGGGTTGTTATGAGACTATTTGTCCATATAACTTTGACATGCCTCAAACCCAGTGTGGGTCAGGCTGGTCTCAAACTCACAAAGATCACCTGCCTTGGCTCCCTGTGGCTGAACTTAAATGCACCACCGTGCCCAGCGCGTGCACGCGCACGCACATGCACGGGGGGGGGGGGGGGGGAGGGAGCACCTGATGGCTCGTGAATGTTCTTAGAGGAGTTATAATTTGCGTAGTAGTCTTCTTGGTTTTGCCCCCTGCGTTCACACCCACGTCAGTCTCATAAGAAGCCTCAGGCCATGAAGCACGAGAGCTGTCAGGTGGCAGCCTGTAGGCAGCAAGGCAGCTGTCCATTGTGGAGGCTCTTCAGCAACACTGTGTGGACAGTAAGAACTAGAAACCAGGCTGAGAAGACGGCTCAATGGGTTAGAGCAATCGCTGTGAAAGCATGAAGTCACTCATGTAAACACCAGCCATGTGTGCCTATAACCTGAGTGTTGGGGATAGAAACAGGTGGGTCCTGGGACCTCGAGCTCAGTGAGAGACCCTGTTTCAGACAGACAGTAGTCGGAGTTTCTGTCCTGCCTGGTCCTGCAGCTGTTTAGTCCCAAATAAACACACAGGGGCTTCTATTAATTATAAGCTGATTGGCCAATGGCTCAGGCTTCTTACTGGCTAGCACTTTCTTAATTAACCACCCATTTGTATTAAACTATTGCTGTGGCTTAACAAGCTCCTGCATGTTACTCCTTCGGGAGCTACATAGCATCTCTCTGGTGGCTCTGTTTCCCTCTTCCCAGCATTCCCAGCATCCTAGTCTGGTAGCCTCCGCCTATACTCCTGCCTGGCTACCGGCCAATCAGCGTTTATTCATCAACCAATAAGAGGAACATATATACAGCACACAGAAGGACATCCCCCATGACAAACAAGAGGCAGAGGCAGGTAGATCTCTGAGTTTGAGGCCTGCCTGGTTCAAGATAGCCAGGGCTACACACAGAAAGCCTGTTTTGGGGAAAATAAATAAATAAAGCAAGTAATAGACATGGATATCTTCCTCTGGCCTCTGCATAAGACAGTTTTTTTTTTTTTTTTAGTTTTTGTTTTTGTTTTTGTTTTGTTTTGTTTTTAACTGGCTTGGCAGGTGAAGGCACTGCCATCAAGCCAACAAGCTGAGTTTAACTCCTGGCATTCACATGGTGTGATAGGAGAGCCAGCCCCTGCAAGCTGTCCTGTGGCCTCGCATACACACTGCTGTGCATACCTGTGTGCGGATTGGCATCGAACTGAGGACATATATACACTCATACATACACAAAGTGAGTAAATAAATGTAATATTTTCAAAAGTTAACCAAAAAGAAAAAAAGAAGAAGCCAGGCGGTGGTGGCACACGCCTTTGATTCCAGCACTTGGGAGGCAGAGGCAGGCGGATCTCTGTGAGTTCAAGGCCAGCCTGGTCTACAGAGCAAGTTCCAGGACAGGTTCCAAAAACAATACAGAGAAACCCTATCTTGGAACATCAAAAACAAAACAAAACAAAAAATTATCCTTAGATGATGTGTATTGTGCCGGGGGGGGGGGGTTGTCATGCGCATGCACACAGGTGTCAGAGGAGAGCGTCTGGGGTACATGAAGCCCTGTCTGGACCAAGCAAGCCACCTACAAAAATTGTCCATGGAGATACATGCTATGAAGAAATCAGAGAGTGAGGGGTTCATTTTATGTAGGTCAGGGAAAGCCTGAGGTGTAGGTGTGTTTGAATAGGGACGTGAACTGCAGAGGTCTCTGGGAGAAGAATGGGTCAGTGACTAGACAGTGACACACAAGCGTGTTTGGGGAACCACAGGAAAGCCAATGCTAGGGCTGAGGGGAACACGGCCAGTCACACAGAGGAGGCCAGTCACACAGAGGAGGCCAGTCACACAGAGGAGGCCAGTCACACAGAGGAGGCCAGTCACACAGAGGAGGCCAGTCACACAGAGGAGGCCAGTCACACAGAGGAGGCCAGTCACACAGAGGAGGCCAGTCACACAGAGGAGGCCAGTCACACAGAGGAGGCCAGTCACACAGAGGAGGCCGGTCACACAGAGGAGGCCAGTCACACAGAGGCCAGTCACACAGAGGAGGCCAGTCACACAGAGGAGGCCAGTCACACAGAGGCCAGTCACACACAGGCCAGTCACACAGAGGCCAGTCACACAGAGGAGGCCAGTCACACAGAGGCCAGTCACACAGAGGAGGCCAGTTACACAGAGGAGGCCAGTCACACAGAGGCCAGTCACACAGAGGCCAGTCACACAGAGGAGGCCAGTCACACAGAGGAGGCCAGTCACACAGAGGCCAGTCACACAGAGGAGGCCAGTCACACAGAGGAGGCCAGTCACACAGAGGAGGCCAGTCACACAGAGGAGGCCAGTCACACAGAGGAGGCCAGTCACACAGAGGAGGCCAGTCACACAGAGGAGGCCAGTCACACAGAGGAGGCCAGTCACACAGAGGAGGCCAGTCACACAGAGGAGGCCAGTCACACAGAGGCCAGTCACACAGAGGAGGCCAGTCACACAGAGGAGGCCAGTCACACAGAGGCCAGTCACACAGAGGAGGCCAGTCACACAGAGGAGGCCAGTCACACAGAGGAGGCCAGTCACACAGAGGAGGCCAGTCACACAGAGGAGGCCAGTCACACAGAGGCCAGTCACACAGAGGAGGCCAGTCACACAGAGGAGGCCGGTCACACAGAGGAGGCCAGTCACACAGAGGCCAGTCACACAGAGGAGGCCAGTCACACAGAGGAGGCCAGTCACACAGAGGCCAGTCACACACAGGCCAGTCACACAGAGGCCAGTCACACAGAGGAGGCCAGTCACACAGAGGCCAGTCACACAGAGGAGGCCAGTCACACAGAGGCCAGTCACACAGAGGAGGCCAGTCACACAGAGGAGGCCAGTCACACAGAGGAGGCCAGTCACA